ACACTTCACTTCGCACTATATATACACACCGTGCACCGTCTTTTGCAGTGTTGCTGTCGCATTAGTGTCGGCACACCTTATATCATCCCTTGGTACCGATGAGTTGGGTACGCCGCAGGGTGATTGTGTTTTTTGGTTTCGGAGGTTCAGGGAGGTGCGGGGGTGCGGCGGTGGGGCGCGGCGGGCACTGGAACTTCCGAGAATACATTGCGACGTACCCAGCCCATCGGCACCAAGGGACGATATAAGGTGAGCTGACAATGGTGCGATTGCAACGCTGCAAGATAAGGTGCACGGCGGATGCGCATGTCGTGCGAAGCGTGCGTGGCCGACTCGCAGAACAGAAGTGGAAAAGGCCAGGAGGCATTGTACTGGGATGGAGAAGCAAACGGAACACATCCGGGTGGAAGAACAATCGCCTCGGCAGAAGCAGCGAGATGATGGAGCAAATTCAAAATATGGCTACACAGGCGGAGACGCAACAGCAGCCCCCCAGGAGCCCCTCGAATGCGGGGGCAGCTTCACACTTCGCAGCCCCTCAGGAACTGCGAGGTCCTCAAAGTTTGCGTGGGGCCCCACTGCGCTGCCCCGCCCAGGCAACCTTCGAAAGCGGTGACAGTTTCACACCTCGCAGCCCCCAAGGGATGGCGAGGTCCCGTTTAGGGCTGCGTGGCACCCCACTGCGTTGCCCCCCCCCATCCGCGCAGACATGCGCGTTTTGATATTTGTTTCGTTGCTTCTTCCCCGAATTCTAACTGCAGCTGCAAGCGAGGGGTTTGGTCCTCCGTGGCCGGTTGCATCAAGCCGGGGCCGTGGCCAGGCAGCGGGCGCTGCACGGAGCCATAGAGGATTGGCCAGCCGGGCCATGCGACATGGGTTGGACTCGGCCGCAGTCGCGCCTCCTTTCGTCCCCGTCCCCGCACCCCCTGCTCATTTGTTTTCCTTTCGGTCCCTCCCCCCCCATCCGTCCCTCCCGCCTTCTACGGTAGGTTCGCGACGACCCCAGCACGGGCGTTTGAGGCTGAACGCCGTCCGTGGCCCAGGATCGGCCCCTCGTTGAACGATCTGGCGTTTCTGAAACCGCCGATCGATCAGGCTTGAACGATCCCCGCCTTCCACTCCTCTCCCGGGCGCCCCCTGCCTGCTCGCCCCCCCCCCCCAGGCAGTCCCCGCAGCGCGTGGTGCAGGAGGTTGTCCGGGCGCTCCGGGCGCGAGGCCCGAGGGTGGGGCCCGGCGCGGTTGCGCGCCGCGTCGATGGGGGTATCGATCCAACCCTTCCCCTCCTCCTGCCTCCTGCCTCCTGCCTCCCCCTCCTCCTCCTCCTCCTCCTCCGCTTCCTCCTCCTCCTCCTCCTCCTCCTCCTCTTCCTCCTCCTCCTCCTCCTCCTCATCGTCCTCCTCTTCCTCCTCCTCCTCCTCCTCCTTCTTCTCCTCCTCCTTCTTCTCCTCCTCGGAAGATGAGGCGGGCCCCGGCGGGCCCCTCAGAAGCGCATCACATGTTTGCACAACCCTCCCGGGGAGTCGGGTCCTTCTTTCTCCGCTGCGCCGCGCGTCTCCCTGACGCCCGCCTCCTCTTCCCTTCCTGCCTCTGCTGCTTCGCTTCCTGTTGCACGCCCCTCACGCGCGTAGTCGTGCCCCACAGGGAACTCCAACTGCGGCCCGAGTGGGGCCGCCCCTACAGGGCCGTACAAGTGTGCATGATCTGCGTGAGGGGCGTGCGGATTTGAGGCGGGGACAGTGTAGCAATGCAAACGGTAGGGCCGCAGGTGGAGCTCCTAAAGAGACACAGTCTGCGTCAGGGGTGCCGAATTGAGACGGGGACGCTGCGTAACAATTCGCACGGTGGGGCCGCAGGAAGTTTCGATCCACCTCACAAGTGGCCCACTGAGCGTATTGCCACACACCGTCCCCGCTACAATTCGACACACCAGTCGTGCGGATCGTGCCCCATAAGGAGGTCCACTTGTGGCCCCGGCTCCCCCCCCCCCCTCATGCGCTAAATGCACCTGCGCAAGGTTGGAACATGCGTTAGGCTAATGTTGGGCGCAAGTGCCTCACACGCGTCCCCCTAATCTGTTCCCCCCACGAAGCCGCTCTGGGGGGGTTAGGCTCGGAGTGCAGTCTGGCGCAGGGCCTCTGCCTTTCCTGGCCCCTTTTCCTGTGCGCCCGCTCCCGAGCGAAAGAGAGTCTCGCGGATGGCCTACGGTTCGGTCGTCTTCGGGGCCTACCCCTTACCTCGTAACCCCCTTCGCGGGGGTATAAACCAGTTTGGTCAAATTTACTTCGTAGAGCGTCGTGATGTCTCGTCCTTGCCATTCCTCCTCCAGTGGTTATTGTTCCTCGCTCTCCTCTGCCATCTCGTCGTCGTCATTATCGTCGTCGTCGTCGTTGTCGTCCGCCTCCCGTTCTCTTGCTTCCCTCCTCCTCCTCATCCTCCTGCTTCGCGGCCCTGGGGGGTCCCGAGTCCGAGGGCCCCCCCCGGCCTCTGCCTTTCCCGCTCCCGTGCTCCAGCCACTTACGGTCTCGCACAGACGCGCGTGCGGATTGCCTCTGCTGCGCTGCGACGTAACACAAGTGCTTCAGCCACCCACCCTCCTCCTCATCAGTCGGTCGGTCACTACGGGATGAGTTTGGATCACAAACAGAAAAGCATAGAGAGCAGCAACAGAGCGACGCGAGAGAGGCAGCGATCGCGGCAGCGTTCAAGCCTCGACGGTAAAACAAAAGTATCCCCACCCCCATTCAAAGCTCGATCCCGCTAACAGTGCGTTAGGCAAATTTCAGTCCCAGTCCTGCACGAAGGTCGGTTGGTAGAGGATCTGAAAGCAGTCACGCCAAACTCTTCCCCGAGGATAGTGCGAGAGCATATGGTACAGCGCACACCGTAAGGCTTGTCATGGAGTGCAGGGTAGCACCATCTTATCGAAATCACGACCGCGCTGGAATTCGAAATAGTTGTCGAAGGGGACAGGAATGAAGGACTTCTTGGGGTAACACTTGGGAAGGGGCCCCAGATTCGACACCAAATTGGGGGTGTGAGTGTGAATGGCCATGTGCGATGTAGGTTTCAAAGTACGCAGCCCAAACATACGTGGATCAACCCGATGAACACAGACCCAAGGCTGAATGGCCAACCGCCTCATATCAGTGGGAGATACCCACTGTTGGGGACGTTAGGGCGATGCTCGGCTGGTGATGGGTGTTCCATGACTGCTGGCATCCCCAGCCTCTACGCTGAGATGATGACAAGGATGGTGGTACAGAGCAGAGTGTTGCCTACGTCCAGCTGGGCACGTTCCGTGGCTCCTCCTCCTCCTCCTCCTCCTCCTCCTCCTCCTGTTCCTCCTCGTCTCCTGCCCATTCCTACCGCTCCTCCTACTCCGGCTTCTGTTCTCAATCATCATCCGCTCAGTCGTTCGTTTGCCGCCACACCTCCTCCCCTCTTCAGTTCCCCCTCCTCCTCTTCCCACTTCACCATGGAGGCTGTGGGGGCCGCTGGAAGCATCAGGGGGGCCAGGAGGCCACAGCTGGCCGAAGAAATCCCCAGAGGCGGCCCGGGGGGCACGACACCATCAAGAACGGTACTGGCGAGCCGGCCCAGGGGCCACCCCCCCCACCCTTGCTGTGCGACTTGACCTCACCTGGCCGTCCCGCTGGGCCCTCTACGAAACGCCCACGCGAGCCCCTGCAGGTGAAGGAAGACAGTCTCGAGAATGAGAGCCTTTTGGGTCCCCCTGGCCGGCACGTGGGGCCTCAGCTCAGAAGCGAAGACAGTTTCGAGCAGGACAGTTTGTCCGTAGACGTGAGGTTTACGCTTCCCCTGACAGTCCCAAGGGGCGCCCGGGGCCTTGAAAGCGATGGCAGTTTCAGAGATGGGAGCTCCCCCCTCGACTAGCCCAGGGCGGTCCCCCGCGTTGCTGTGCGATTTGGCTTCCCTTGCTCGTTCCGCCGGGCCTTCTGAGAAACCCCGCGCGTTTTTTTGTTTTGAAAAACGCCGACAATTTCGACCATGGCAGCATTTCCTTGGGCAGGCCCGGAGGCAATCCCCAGCGGTGTTGTGGGACTTGGCCTCCCCTGGCCGTCCCGCAGGGCCTTCAATGAAGCTTCGCGCAGGGCCTGACAGGAGAAGACATCAGCAGAGATCGGGACCCCCCCCCCCTGACCAGCCCGGGGGAGCGGTGCCCCACGTTGTGCGATTTGGCGCATGCGATCTATTGCCGCGCGCCTGCCTAGCTGCCCAGAGCCTCGCTGTAGAGGGCAGTTGACGCGTGCCGCGGGTAGGCAATCCACGCGCAGCTTTGCGAAAACAGTTCTGCCGATGCTGATCTGGCACACGCGAGGACGATCTGTGAGACCCGTCAGTGTTCCGAAGGCAGGAGCGTGTGATAGCCATGCGCAGCCGGCTCGGCGTATGCCCACTGTGGGGTTGTCCGAGGCGTCGGAACAAGAAGCGCTCTCGGATGCTGGCCCCCTCTGCGAGCTGGGGAGTGGCGCAGCGAGCTCTGGTCAGGAAGGCAAGCCCACTGAAGCACCAGCTCAGCGGCTCGAGCCACAGGCCGAGAAAGAAAATATTTAAGGCATCGGTGCAGCTCTAGCGAACACAAAGGGCGTTTTTTGTCCAGCTTCCAGAGCGATCGCTTCACTCAGAGTGGCCCGCGGGGCTCATTTTGTCGCCTTCCCTCGCGAGCCAGCTATCTGGGGGGGAGATCTGGTCGGGTGGGCCCAGGTCTGGAACAGATCGCTCTCAGGGTGCTCTGGAAGATGATAATTGTGATGATGATGATTGTGATAATTGCGATGATGGTGTTGGTGGTGATGGTGAGGATGATGACGACGACGATAATGATGATGAGGATGATGGTGATGTTGATGATGATGACGACGATGACGGTGATGATGGTGGTGATGATGACGATGGTGGCGGTGGTTGGCGGTGGCGTTCATGGTGATTATGATGGTGGTGGTGATGGTCACGAGGAGGAGGAGGAGGAGGAGGAGGAG